TGGGGTCTGGGATTGGGGTCTGGGATTGGGGTCTGGGGTCAGGGATTGGGGTCTGGGATTGGGGTCTGGGATTGGGGTCTGGGGTCAGGGATTGGGGTCTGGGATTGGGGTCAGGGATTGGGGTCTGGGATCGGGGAACGCAGCCCCAGCCCCACAGGTCCCGGGGAAGCACCCACAGTTCTGTTTGGTGTTGGTCAGGTTCAGCCGGAGGTTGTCCAGGTGCTCCAGGATCTGCTCCAGGGTCAGCTGGGCCAGCTTGCTGCTGGAGCTGCGCAGGCTGCGGGGTGAGATCCCAAAAAACCGGGATGAGACCCCAAAAAACCGGGATGAAATCCCAAAAAATGGGGATGAGATCCCAAAAAATGGGGATGAGGCACCAAAAATGGGGATGAGATCCCAAAAAACCAGGAATGGGGGATTGGGAACGGAGGATTGGGAATGGGGTCCCCTGGAAGGGCGGATCAAGCCCTGGAATTACGGGATAAATCCTGCTCAGGGATTCTGCTGGAATTCCCGGGAGCTCCATGGGCTGATCCCAGGGATCTGCAGGGATTAGAGCCAGATCCACCCCAGATCCCATGGGATGGGGAGAGCTGGGAATTCACTCTGGGAGCTGGGAATTCATCCTGGGAGCTGGGAATTCACTCTGGGAGCTGGGAATTCACTCTGGGAGCTGGGAATTCACTCTGGGAGCTGGGAATTCACTCTGGGAGCTGGGAATTCACTCTGGGAGCTGGGAATTCACTCTGGGAGCTGGGAATTCACTCTGGGAGCTGGGAATTCACTCTGGGAGCTGGGAATTCACTCTGGGAGCTGGGAATTCACTCTGGGAGCTGGGAATTCACTCTGGGAGCTGGGAATTCACTCTGGGAGCTGGGAATTCACTCTGGGAGCTGGGAATTCACTCTGGGAACTGGGAATTCACTCTGGGAGCTGGGAATTCACTCTGGGAGCTGGGAATTCACCCTGGGAGCTGGGAATTCACTCTGGGAGCTGGGAATTCACTCTGGGAGCTGGGAATTCATCCTGGGAGCTGGGAATTCACTCTGGGAGCTGGGAATTCACTCTGGGAACTGGGAATTCACTCTGGGAGCTGGGAATTCATCCTGGGAGCTGGGAATTCACCTCCACGGGGGCTGGCACAGGGAGGGGAGAGGGAAAATTCCTTAGGGGGGGAATTCTGTGAGAACGGGGCCTGAGCAGGGGGGTCAGCCTTCCCCACCCCCTTTGGGAGGGAATTCCCGGGAATGGTGTCGGCATTCCCGGCCCCCTTTGGGAATTCCCGGGAATGGTGTCGGCATTCCCGACCTCTGGCGCTTGCGGGGCAGGGAGTTGTTCTTGATGAGCAGGGCCTTGATGTGCTCGCCCAGGAGGTCGTCGTGCCGCAGCCCCCAGTGCCGCAGGATGCTGGTGGTGAACTGATCCTCGGGGTGGCACGGCCGGCTCAGCACCATCTTCACCATCTCCTCGCTGGGCCTGGCAACACCGGGACACCGGGGGTGGGAACAGCGGGA